TTCCCCTCTCACCACCTGACTTCTCAGTATCAGCGGACTACTAGAGAGAGAGAGAGAGTTGTGACTTGAGACTTGACGGCATTGGATCCAGACTCGACCTTTTTGGGATTCAGACATTTCGACGAGGGACTATTTGGGCCTGTGCTGAACACTTGGTGTTGACGACATTCCCATCTTCCCCTCTTCTTTGTCTAACCCCCATCTCCTTCGTCTGTGTATGGTTGGGGCTGGTGCAGTCTTCCTGTGTGAAGCGCCAGACCCCTTCACACCATGGAATGATGATGATGATGTATGTTTGGGGCTGCATTGCAATATTGATTGTTCGGATCATTGGTATCTAAGTCTTCCGCTGTGCTATCTTATACTTTGTATTGAAAGGTCGGTTCTTGTTCTGGTCTGCACCTATACGGTATGCAACAGTTAATCATCTGCCGATCTGCCTGTCTTTTTGTCCTCCTTCCTCGCTGTCTATCTGCCTGTCTGCCTGCAGGACTTCCTGGCCCTTCAGCGATGCTGTCTGTTGACTCAGCGGTCTGTTTGTTGGTCTATTTATCTATCCATCTCTGTCGGTCTATTTATCTATCCATCTTTCTCACCCGCTTGCGTGCCCACCCAGGACTGTCTGTCCATCCATCCCTATATTAGTCCATCTATTCGTCTTTCCTGCCGTGGGTAGTCCATCTACTCACGGAGTCAAATTCAATTGAAAGTTGAAACAAAACTGGGACCTCGAGCAAGGGATTTTGTTGCTTTTCTTATTCTAGTCTCTTCCTGGCTTTTGATCCTTCCAGTGGTTCGTTCATTTGTTTGAAGTTCCTCTTAGCCGAATGGCCCTGACCGAACAAGTAATACGAACCTCATTTGACTTCGGTGTTCTGGTTTCACAGCTTGCTCATGAATCAATATTAAAGTTTAGAGCAGATGTCAAACAGAACTCACACCAGGCTTGCATTGTACATCTTCGGCCAATGTCCCTATTCCCATTGCCAAGATGATTATGGCTGTTGGTCTTGGGAAGTAGTGGTACTACTACGGAACGGGCCTGCTGCCTATGCAGTCGCTGCAGCAATTGGCTTGTCTCACTGCTACTTCCACGTTCACGGAGAAGGTGCTTTACAGGCGTTTATGCTGTAGTTGCTTTCATAGCAATTGCTTTTGGTGGTAGATATTGGTTCTTCGTCAGTTTAAACCACTTGGGAGGTGCTGGCGGCTCTGTCAGTAATGTGCCTTGCTCCGTGTGTGTGTGTGTGTGTGTGTGTGTGTGTGTGTGTGTGTGAGAGAGAGAGAGAGAGAGAGAGAGAGAGAGAGAGAGAGAGAGAGAGAGAGANGAGAGAGAGAGAGAGAGAGAGAGAGAGAGAGAGAGAGAGAGAGAGAGAGAGAGAGAGAGAGAGAGAGAGGACCAGACAGCAGGATGTGCGACCCTCGAATGGACGACGAGAGATTATCCTTTGTGGTATAAGGAGAGATTCACAGGTGGCAGTGGGCAGTGCTTAAGCTGGACAATGACTGACATTGCCTAATTTTCAAATGGTCAACACTGAAAGTGTACAAAATGGGTTTGTCGTGCAGTGGGTCCCGAATGGAACCCTTTTTCCATGCATGGGAAGACCACGGTTTGAAAGTTTGGTCATGTCTAACTTTTGTGGACACTAAAGTTAGACAATGATGCAGTAGTAATACGCGATCTCTAAGCAGTCGTGCCATAAAATTGGCAGAATCCAATCTGTCCCTTGACCTGTGATGTTTGAATTCCTAACTTGAACTGCCGAGATTTTAGAATGGGTATGCAATGGTGCGGACTGGAAACTGCTAGAAGTGTTCGGAACTTGCCTGTACTTGTGCAAAGTCGTGAGACTCTGCCGACAAGTCGAAGTGCCACTTGGCCATCCACCAGTAATGGATGGAAACCATCGACTGAAAACCGGAAAACCGGTTTACACGGCGGCATGCTTATCGCTGTGATGTCTAAAGACCAGAGGTCTGCTTCAAAAGACGCACTTCATTCTCGAGGTTCGCAACTCTTTTAGTCCAAGAAGTCTCTCTGTCTGTTAGAGGTGATTGCCTCTGGATGGTGGGGTCCATTTTCCCTTCTTAACAGAACAAGGACCCAGCTCTCCTAGTTGCCTATGTTGCATTTGGCTTGTGCAGTTGTGGTTTATCAATTCCTCCTCTTTTCTTTCTCTCTCTAGCACAACTCCATGTGGCTGAATATAACACGCCCATATAAACTGTCCCTAAACTTTAAACCTCAGTTTGAATCGTAACTGTTGATGAACCGGCCTGCGTTGGAATCTTGCCAGGATCAGACAAATGAAATAACTCTGAAGTACGTAGGGCTGGTCAGTTCTACGATCATACCTCAAGGCTGTTGTCCTTCGCTTTTTTTTTTTTCTTCGCCGCCCGCCCCCCCCCGGGGCCCCTTTAATGAAGTTCTCTGGTTGTCCATCAAACAGATCAAGTTCAATTGTGCCTTATTGTCTTGTGGTCTGATTTCTTATAATGTATGTTTTGTCTGTTTTCTTGTGTTTGGTTGTGTTTCGTCTGTGTTATGTGACTGCGGTTCTGATTGGCACGTTGCCGCTGTGTTCCATTCTACAGACAATTTCACAGGCTCTTGCCACTGCGAAGGAGACTCTGGCACGCTCCCTTCTCAAGTAAAATTTTGTGTTGTCGACCGCATTCCATGCGAAGCTTGTATCAGGAAAGTTCTTCATTTCGAGTCTTGACGATCCGTTTGTTCTTTGACTTCGATGAGTTTGTCTGTGCCCATGGCCTCTTTCTGTCCTTCGATTAGAGGGCCATGTTTTTTCGGTAGAAAGTGAAGATGAAGGGAACTGTTGGTCCCACTTGAAGGGTGTTTTGTTCTGCACGTGCTCTGATTCTTTCTTCAAACTTTTCGGGGTGCTTTTGTTTTCTCGATTGGTCTTGGGTATGGGTGTATGGTGCTGGCACTGTACGGGGATGGCAGGCAATTTAAGAGGCATGTGAGTTGGATGGTGTTCCGCCTCTTTCTACCTCACCAGTCAACTATCTAGTACGGGAGAATTAAAGTCTTTAAAGGTATATAGCTCGGCTCGTATTCTGTGGTGCCTTTTTTCTGCCACTTTGTGTGGCTGTGGTTTGTCTACATTCGGATAATACACCGAAGGTGACGGGGCGAGTACAGGCTCGACGCTCAGCCAGGTTTATAGACACTTCTAATAAGTCTTCGAGTCACGCTCAATCATGATGGCTCAGGAACATGAAATTGTCTTCGTTGTGATTTATATTCAATTTTTGTGAATTCACTTATTTGAAGTGATTTCGCTTTTGCGTTTTGTAGGGAACGACTGTGGTGGAGCTGGTTCCTTTTTCCTGACATTGCTAAACTTTTCTTTCCTTGCTTGTGGCTTACTTGTCGTCTATGTTGCAGGAAGTTGTGATTTCATGGTGTACAAGTACTGCAGTCATTCATAAACACTAGAGGTCTCAACCTGTGTAGCATCGTGTTCGGGTTCGGTGACCGAACCCGAACGTTCGGGACTGAACGCGAACGAGTGCCGAAACTCTCCGAACGCGAACATAAAAAAAGATTCTCCAAAAAATCTGAAAAAAATATATGTGATGTAAAATAATAATAGAAACAACTTTTGCCTTGGAGGTATGCTCAAATTCGTAACCAAACTCGAGTTAAAAATTAAAAAAAAAACAAAAAAAAGGTTTTTTTTTTTTTTTGAATATGTTCGGCCGGACACGTTCGGGTGGCGTTCGGCTGAACACCCAGACATGTTCGGACGTTCGGAAAAGCTCCGAACATGTTCGGTGTGCTACACAGGTCTCAACCATGCTTGCGGCACATTGAATGCGTGCCGGTCATGCACACGCGCCGCGCGGGTGGCGTGTGCACCAGGTGCGCCGCATGGCCGAAAATCAGGCTCCCCCCCCAAGAAAAAAGTCTCTTGTGTACTCAACCGTAGTTCCACTGCCCTGCGAAAATCGAGAGATGGGCGGGGCAAAGATTTGATAGGGCCGCCCACTGGCCCCAGATCTATCTAGGAGGAAAAAGAGGGAAAAAAGAAACATTGGTGATAGATCTGTTGGAGAAACGTTATAGGGCTTTTTTGTTTTATTTTTAGTTGAGGGCTATTTTGACTTCGGGCCTGGCTCCACTACGCACGGTATGTGCAAAATGAGAATGAATCTTCCGCTAGAGCATGGGAAGATACACCTCAATGTTTTTGTCTTCAAATGGTGAGTAGTGGAGTGAGGCCCTTGCCGGCCGCCCGAGTTGATACAATGGGCCGGAGTTCCATGCCTGTGTTGGGGCCTCGCTCCGCTACTTGCCACATGCACAGAAGACGGACAATATGCGGTGTGTCTTCCCATGTTCTTACAGAAGATCTATTGAATTTTATTCTCATTTTGCACATGTTGTGAGTACCTCACCGTCAACGAAGTGTTACGTTGAAAGTCAATTCTTCGCTGCAATCGTTTTGCGTGGGAGCCTCTATGGAAAAGGGTGATACGACCTGTGGAATTTCGTCCAGCAGACGCCTTTTTGAAACTAACCCATATGAGATATTGAAGAATAAGCAATTCTGCGCTTATGCATAGAAGACAAAAAAATAGCGGTGTATCTTCCCATGATCTAGATGAAGATTCATGCAAAAAATAGTGGTGTATCTTCCGATGATCTAGAGGAAGAGTCGTTCTCATTTTGCCCATGTGAGTAATGGAGTGAGTACTCACGAAATGTGCAAAATGAGATTGTGCATGGGAAGATGCACCGTATATTTTTTGCCCTTCGTGCATATGGTGAGTAGTGGAGCGAGACCCTGAAATGGGCAAGAAGTCAGACATTGGGCAAGAGGCTGAAATTGCTCCGTTGAAATTGTAATGATACAGAATTTTTTATTTTTTTTTCAATGGCTTCTTGCTTCGCCTGAGATGGCCACGTGTTGCCCACTGAGCTGGCTTCTGTCTTGATCTGCCTCCTTTCCTTACGCTGGCTTCTGTCTTGATCTGCCTCCTTTCCTTACGCTGGCCAGGTTGGAATCTGCAGCAACAACAATCGCCTTTCGCCGGCGAGACACTGAGGGCCTTGCCACACCAGTCTCGGAATGTGAAAAAGACAAGAACGTGGCGGGTGCATCAGGCCATGTTCCCCGGGGAGTTCGTTCTCATTTTGCACATTTCGAGAGTGGTGTGGCGATGCCGTGAATCAGCAAGTATGATACAGAGAAGATTAGCATGGCCCCTGCGCAGGAAGAAAAAGATATGGAAAAAAAAAGAGGAATGGAGGACAGAGGCGCGCACTAATGCACACTGCCCATGCGTGTGCAATGAGCGCATGTGTGCACAGCGCACATGTGCCCATGCATCATTCATGAGCGCATAGGTCCGCTGCAAGTATGGTCTCAACAGCATGAGTCACTTTTTGGTGAACACAAAATGTAGCTTTGACAATGGTATTGTGGTATTTCTGGAGGCAATGCTAGTGATGGGTGAGGAACGGGAGGGATGCAGGTCAGGATTTTTTTTCGTAGCTCACTGTGGTTGCTGGTACCATTCAGGGCTGAAGTAGCAGTCCAGGAGGAACACACAAGTATGCCAGAAATGCCAAAAACAATAAGCTGCTTTCATTTGCCGTTTCTGCTAACTTGCTGAAAGCGAAATTTTAGGGAACTACGTTGCACTTGGCATTCCGTGCTTTTTGTTTGCTTCACTGTTAGTGGTGTTCGGTGCTGGCCGAACGTGCCAGCTGGGACAACTGAATGTTCGCTCCCCCCCTGCCAGCACATTTGGCCGAAGGCCGGTCTTTGATTTTTTTATTTCTTTATTTTTTTTTGGTTTCTCTTGAAGGAGGCTTGGTTTCCCGTCTCTTCAATTAAAAACAATGTTTTGGCCGGCGTGTATAATACTTGCCAAAGGCTGCCTGTGTCCCCCCAGCCCTTTGTGTGTGTGCTGCCTGTGTCCCCCCAGCCCTTTGTGTGTGTGCGTGCGTGCGTGTGCGTGTGTGTGTGTGTGTGTGTTCAGGTGCGCATTTTCCCCAATAAAGTGCTCTTTCATTATGGTGTGTGTGTGTGTGTGTGTGTGTGCGCATTTTCCCCAATGAAGTGCACTTTCATTATGGTGTGTGTTTGTGTGTGTGTGCAGGTGCGCATTCCCTCCAATGAAGTGCACTTTTGTTATGGCTGTACAGGGCCAGAAAGATTGTGTACATCCGATGTCAGGGTGCTTTGTGTTAAGGCGAAGTTGGTTGTCAGGTGCCCAATTTTCCCCCGGAATGCAACACCGTAAACCGCTAGTACATGGGCCCATCCTTGCATAAAAAAACACGTTGTCTACACTGAAAAGTTTGGGGCCGGGCCGATGTTGATAAATATCGTCAATGGCGTTTGTTGTGTCCTTGACCTCCGAAAGTTGCAGTGTGGGCTTGCGACCGATGTATGGCCATGTACTGGTTGATAACGAATGTACACACAATCCTTCTGGTATGGTACAGCCATAATGAGGATGTGCTGTATTCGGGGGCAGATGCCCTTTTCTGGTATGGTACAGCCATAATGAGGATGTGCTGTATTTGGGGGCAGATGCCCTCTCTCTCTCCTCCGCACGCCCACGTGCATGTGCAATTCTGTGTGTGTGTGTGTGTGTGGTGATATGATTGATTGATTGATTGATTGGTTTATTGCTTGATTGATTGGTTGATTGTAGATTATTTATACAACCACAGGTCTAGAAAATCCAGCAATCCATACACCCGTCAGATTCCACTTTTTCGCACGCATGACCACACATGCTTTACACAAGCTTTTCTTTCCACTTCAACTGGCAAAGAACACAGGTCCAAAATTGAGTTGCCAACTGACCTCGAGTGAAGTAGTGTTGAGTGCCCCTAAGCTCACTCGAGAAAAGCCAAGAAAAATAAGTGTCAAAGGAAACCGCAGTCCCGAGGTAAATTTCACGTCAAGCCGTCCTCAGCTCGCACGTCCCACATGCGGTAGTCCCAAGTCCAAAGATGGTGAGCTGCACATATTCCAAAAAAAGCCCATTGGTCCCATTTCAGTGCCACCTGGTCCTAAGTGGTCTTAGATGGTCCTATTCAACTAACCGCGATGCGAAATGATCCTGGACTTGACACTCGCTTGTGCCGCACTGTGCCGCACAAAAATTAACGACTGCGGCAAAAAACAAAACCACGAGCGAAAAGGAAACGCCGCTGTCGCCGCAGGTGGCTTGTGTTGGTCGCAACTGGACTCAGGTGGTTCCAAGTGGTCCCACACTACTGTCCGCAGCACCAGATGGCTCCGGTTAGCAAAACCGCTTACTCCGTGTGCTTCAAAAAACAAATAAAGGCAGTCCCAAGTGTCGAAACCGCAAGTGTTGTAAGTCTCAACTACATGGCCTGTTCATGTCCCAACTCGTCCTGCTGGCCCGCACACTGCATCACGCGGTCTTCCCCCCCCAAAAAAAAGTCTGACACGAGGGTCCGAATTCATTTACAAGCCCCACACAGCACAGTCCACCACATGCACCACCAAGCCTGCTCCAAAACTGCTGTCTGCACCCTGCTGTATGCGTTAAAAAAACATAATGCCGCACAGTGTAGTCGAACGTCATTCCTGGAAGAAAGTCTCGAATGTGTGCTGTAGCCGGCGTCGGGCGGCTGAAGCGTGCCGGCCACCCGAAATAAGTGGATTCTGCGTCTGTGTCCGCCAGCCAGATACATTTCTCTGACTTCTGCTGTTTGACTGACGGTGGGAAAACAGAGTATGTGGGTCGCTCCCTGTTTTTCACGCCATCATTTGTTGTAGTAAGGATATTAATTTATCTTATTTTTAACCACCTCTTTACGAGGCTACTATATGTTGACTATCATCCTCTTGAAAACTCTTTTGAGCGGTTTTGTAAGTTTGAGTCAACGACGGTAATTTATTTATGTTGGCATTGACCTTAAAAAAAATAGAATAAAAGTAATGAACGATCAAAAAGAATCAAGCTTCCATGATTGTCCTTGATTCTGTGTTTTTTGTGCCTGAATATGTTTTCGTCGTTATTGCCCCGATTCACCCTAAATTATTAGCCCTATAGAACCCTCGTTTGGTGTGCAAGCAAACCCCATACTTTTCGTATTTTTAAATGTGTCGGTTGATGCGGTGGATTGACTATTTTGAGGACTGCGGTTTGGGGTCGCATGCGGCGGTTGTTGCGGTCTTCCCGGTCCGCCGACATGGAGGCCTGTCACTTGAGTTCCTTGGTTCTGACAGCCGGTTTATTCAGTTTCCCTTTACCTATGTCGGTACTTGGATTCTCATG